TTTCGCGAGGTGGTCCAGGATGCTCCTCGATGGTCCTCGCCGAGACAAGATGCACACGACCGAGCGATGCCAAGGAGGAAGGAGGAGGAAGGAGGAGGGAAGAGGGAACGGTAGGGGAGGAGGGAGGAGGGAGGAGGGAGGAGGCCAGCAGGGAGGAGGGGGGAGGGAGGAGGGAGGAGGGAGGAGGAGGGTGGGGGGGAGGAGGCGGAAGGAGGGAGGAGGTGGGAGGGAGGGAGGAGGAGGAGGGGGAGGAGGAGGCGGTCGGAGGGGAGGGAGGAGAGAGGAGGAGGAGGAGAGGAAGGAGGAGGAGGAGGAGGAGGAGGAGGCGGAGGAGGAGGAGGAGGAGGAGGAGGAGGAGGAGGAGGAGGAGGAGAGGGAGGAGGGAGGAGGTCATCGACGCGACGGCCAGGGGCGATGCACGCGTCCGAGCGATGCCAAGATCGTTGATCGCTCCCCCGCTGCGCGCCCCCCCCCCCCGGAGGGGTGCGCGCGCCGCGCCGCGGCCCGGGGCGCGCCGCCTGGCAGGCGCAGTGAGCAGAGGGCTGCGTCGGCCCCGCGGCGGCGGCGGAGCGGCTCCTCCATCCTCCTCCCCCTCCTCCTCCTCCTCCTCCTCCTCCTCATTCTCCTCCTCCTTTTCTCCTCCTCCTCCTGCTCCTGCTCCTGCTCCTCCTTCTCCTCCAGGGCGGGAGGCGGGAGGCGGGAGGCGGAGGTCTGCGCGTCGGCGGCAGAGGATGGCGACGTCGAGGGCGGAGCACGGCGACGTCGCGGCTGCACGCAATAGTGGCCTTACGGCAGGTCCGTGCCGTTGCCGTGCTGACCCCAGCGTACAGTCGGGGCGTTGACCTAAGGAACCTTACATAAGGAACGAGGCCCCTTTTTCCCATAAGTTGAACTTCGATTTCCCATCGAAACCCTAAGGAAAACCCAAGTCAAACTGTAAAACCATCAAGGAACACCGAGCCACTCCCAAACGAACAGGGGGTTCCTTCTTCAGCGCCCCGACTGTAGGTTCCCGACGCCGCGGGGATCGCTCAGCCTTCAAAGATCGGCTGTTTGCTAAACCGTCAGATCGTTCAACATCGACCGATCCTGGGCCGCCGGCGGCGTTCGACGTTGAACGCTGGCGGCGGGGTCGCCGCTGGTCGACACGACGCGAGCCTATCGTAGGGAAGAGTGACCTTTCCTCGACCTCCACCTTGCGCACTTTCTGGGCGGCAGATGCCGCGCAGCTGCCGCCGCCAGCGCGGCCGCAGTGGCGGCCGCCGTCGAGGCCGCAACGGTGGGCTCAGCGGACGCCGCGGCCGCGCCGCGGCGGCACCTGCTGCGCGGAAAGCTCGGTAGGTGGAGGTCGAGGGTTTGGTACGCGACTTTCGGGGGTCGCGGGGAGGCCGAACCCGAGCAAGCAAGACGCTGCTATCGCACCGCGCTCCGTCACCTGGGGGCCCCAGCTCGCCCGCACCAGAGGTCGCTCCAGCGAAACGGTCACCCTTCCGTGTAGCCGAACGTCGAGGGCGGCGGCGGCGTCGGCAGCGGCGGCGGCGGCGGCGACCTCGGCACACTTTTGAGCACGCCATCTCTGCGGCCGCTCTTCTCACCTTTCCTGCCCTCCCTGGCATGCGGTGCGCGCGGCCGCGGCCCGGCGGATGGACTCACGCGGTCTGCCCGCTGCGAAGCGGCAGGAGATCCCGCCTGGCCGAGTCGCGGGGAGCGCAGGCATGCCCGCGTCGTGCAGCAATCACGACGGGAAACTTTGGACACTTTGGGGGCCTTCGCTGGGCCTCGGGTCCGTCGTACTCTCGTGCTCCGAAACACAGCACGGGATGAAACAGTGGCCCTGGGGGAACAGGCCGAGACTTCCAGGGGCCCCCTATGGAACAAATCACGACGTCCCACGTCTGGGACACGAGGCCAGGCTGGCGACCAGCACCCCGACGCGCGCCGCAAGCCGTGGGCCCCGACCCCGACCCGGAGGAGGAGGAGGGGGCTGACGGAGAAGATGGCCGACGAACATGGTAGCGAGCAGGCGTCGACAGGGCGCACGCGTACGGCAATTGTGTGTGTGTGTGTGCGTGGTGTGTGTGTGTGTGTGTGTGTGTGTGTGTGGTGTGTGTGTGTGTGTGTGTGAGTGTGTGTGTGTGTGTGTGTGTGTGTGTGTGTGTGTGTCGACCCCAGCATTGGTTCCCGACACCGCGGGGATCGTTCAATCTTGAACGATCGGCCATTTCCGAAACGTCCGACCATTCAACATCGACCGACTCTGTGTCGCCAGCGGCGTTCAAAATTGAACGCCCGCAGCGGGGTCGCCGCGGGTCAACACGACGAGAGCCTAGTGTACGGAGGCAGAGGCGACATGTGAGCGTTTTATTTTTCGGCGTTTCGACGTTGGGTAGAAGGGGGGGGAGGAGGGGGGTCTGGCTCCGGACCTCTGCTTAATGCGACTGTTTGCAACAGTGCGTCCTATTGTGGAGGCTCCACCTGCTTGAAACAGGCGCCAAAAACAGCGAGGATCTAATCCATCGGGGGGGGGTGCAAGGGCCCGCGCCGATCGGCAAAACAACGAATAAGTAAACGACGACCATGCGTGCGTTTCTCCACCCTCTCTCTCTCTCTCTCCTTCCACCGCCCCTCGTCCTCCCTGTGTCCCTGCTCCTCCTCCACCGGTCCCCGCCGCGGGGAGGAGCAGGAGGAGAGGAGGAGGAGGAGGAGGAGGAGGAGGAGGAGGAGGAGGAGGCGGAGGAGGAGGAGGGAGGAGAGGAGGAGGAGGGAGGGGGGAGGGAGGGAGGGAGGGAGGGGCGGCGGGCGGGAGGGAGGGAGGGGAGGGAGGGAGGAGGGAGGAGGAGGAGCAGAGGAGCAGGAAGGAGGAGGAGGAGGAGGAGGAGGAGGAGGAGGAGGAGGAGGAGGAGGAGGAGGAGGAGGAGGGAGGAGGAGGAGGCACCTGTTCGTTACATCATTCGGCGGCGAGCCGGGGGGGGGGGGACCGTGGGACGGTGGGCGGGCAGCCTCAGAAGGCTCAGAGGGCCTCTGGCCTCCGGGCACGTCTCCGAAGCCCTCCCCGAGGAGAGGCAGCGCTTCGCCGAGGGCGCGACGGCTTCTTGAAGCCCCGCCGGCTCCCGAGGAGGCCCGCTCTCGTAGCCAAGTCGAGGAGGGCCCACTCCAGGGGCAGGAGGGCCCAGGATCGAAGCGGGGAGTCGAGTCGGCGATCGAAACGAATCGGATCGGCGGAAATCGGCACTCATAGTCGTCGACTTCGTCGCCCTCCTCGTCGTCGTTGTCGTCGTCGCCGCCGCCGTCGTCGTCGTCGTCGTCGCCGTCGTCGTCGTCGTCGTCGTCGTCGTCGTCGTCGTCGTCGACGTCGTCGTCGTCACACCCGTCGTCGCCGCCGTCGTCGTCAACGTCGCCGTCGCCGTCGCCGTCGTCGTCGTCATGGTCGTCGTCGTCGGTCCTTGATCCTGAATCTCCCCCACCTCGATCTCTGATGTCTCCCCCTTGTACTCCTCCTCCTCCGCGCCACCATCTGTGTAAGTCGCGGTCGTCGTAATCGTCGTCGGAGTCGTAATCGCCCGTCGTCGTAATCTGAATGCCCATCCTCATCTTGATCATCCTCCTCATATCCATCATAATCATCATCAGTAGCATTAGCAGCATCATAACCACCAGCACCACCATCATCATCAGCATCATCACCATCATCAGAACCACCATCCCCATCCCCATCGCCATCCCCATCCCCACCACCGCCACCACCACCAACATCACCACCCCCATCATCATCACCATCATCATCATCAGCATCATCATCATCAGCAGCATCATCATCAGCATCATCACCATCCTCACCATCATCACCATCACCACCATCACCACCATCATAAGATAACTAATGCTCCTCATCGCCATCACCATCATCACCATCACTACTATCATCACCATCGTCATCAACATCATGATGATCATCATCAACACCGTGGTCATCGTCATCATCATCGTCGCTATCATCATCATGATCATTGTCATGATTACCGTTACCATCGTAATGAGAATCGGCACCGTCTGACACACTGCTTCCAATCAGCAGCAGCAGCAGCACCACCACCACCACCATCATCATCATCATCAATACCATCACGATCACCATCATTATCGTTATTGCCATTCTTGTTATTACTATCCTCGCCGTCACGCTGCCCGACGCATCCCAAACCGCCTTGAACAACTCAGAGGGGATGTCAAACCCAGAACGCTCAAACTTTCGAGCGTCAGGCCGCTACGGCCTCCTCAACCCTCCGACCCAGCACCGCTTCAACTCTGCAACCCGATAATTCTTCCATTTCCTCGAACACCGACGAACCACCTGGGCAAGCGGGCAACCTGGCCGACCAACCAACCAACGAACCAACCAACCAACCAACCAACGAACCAACCAATCAACCAACCATCGAACCGACCGCCGAACCAACCAAACGACCGAACAAACAACTGGCCAACCACCCAACTGACCGGGCAACCAACCAATCTTGCCAACCAACCAGCTGGCCCATGGCCAACCGGCCAACTGGCCCACCGGCCAACCAACCAACCAACACAGCCAGCCAACCAACCAACCAACAAACAAACAAATCAATCAACAGAACAACCAGCCAACAAACTAAATTGTGTTTGTGTTTGTGCTTGTGCTTGTGCTTGTGCTTGTGTTTATGTTTGTGCTTGTGTGTTGTGTTTGTTTTTGTGTTTGTGCTTCAGCTTGTGTTTGTGTTTGTGTTTGTGTTTGTGTTGGTCTTGGTGTTGGTCTTGGTGTTGGTGTGTGTGTGTGGTTTTCCCCCCGCCCGGGCTTATAAAGATATAGGAAGAGGCATAGAGAGAGAGAGAGAGAGACAGAGAGGGACACACCCACACCCATACATTGATATAAATAAACACATCTCTCTATAGAAATACATATACGGTTACACGAATGAAGTTGATGTGGCCGTCGCATTGGGAGCGCTGCTTTGAAGTATTTTCTCTCTGCGCCAAGCTTGTGCCCCCGCTCCGCAGGCGTAGCGGCGGTCCGCTGCTGTCCTTCTCGGGCAGGGGGCCTGGGGAGGAGGGAACTGGGGGGCACGTGGAAGACGATGCGGGGGAGGACATGGTCCAGACAGCGCTCGCCTCTCGCAATTCGTGGGGCCGCCTCTCACGCTCACCCGCGCCATGAGCCTCTTGAGCCCACCGTCGGGGCACAGGCGACTGCAGTGCAAATGCTGCAAGACCTCTCCCGCGACGCGGGAGCCTTCCGCGCCCTTGGTGCGCGCACACGCGCCCAGCGCGGCGGTGTACGTGGCAGCGTTTGGGGCGAGCCGGGCCACTTCCATCTCGCACAGCCACTCGAAAGCTCCGGCGGCCAGCCCGGCGCCGGCGTGGGCCTTGACCACGCTGTTGTACGAGATGCTGTCGGGCTCCACCACTGCAGCACTCATCTCGGACAGCCAGGCCGCGGCCGCCGCAGGGTCGCCCGCCTCGGCGCACGAGTTGATGAGGCTGTTGTACGACAGCACGTTGGCCCTGACGGCCGCCCGGCCCATGCGGAGGAGCCAGTCGGCCGCGCTGCGCGTGTCCGACGCCCGCGCGAAGGCGTGGAGGACGCTCGAGTGCGAGACGACGTTCGGCTTCACCCGCGCCAGCTCCATGCCGCGCAGCCACTCCACGGCGAGGTCCGCTCGCCCGGCCCGCGCCCACGCGCCCACCACGCTGGAGTAGGCGACGACGTCGGGCCGCAGCCTCGAGCGCTCCATCGTGCGGAGCCAGGCCTCCGCCTCCGCCGGCTTCCCTGCGCGCGCGCAGGCGCTCACGACGCTCGTGTACAGCACCGCGTCGGGCTCGACCTTGGTCTTCGGGGCAGCACTCGGCCCTCGCGCGGCCGTGCGAGGCGACGCAGGCGCCCCCGGAACGCTGTCTGCGCGGCGCAGCTGCTGCAACGCATCCCGAGGCTGGAGAACCGCCGAGGGCCGACGCAAACGCACCTCCGGCCCGAGGACGGCCACTCCTCCAGTTCTCCCAGGCTCGACCCTCGCAGCCCTGCTCCGGCGGAGCCAGTCGGCCGCCTCCTCCGCCCGCCCGTGCGCCGCGCACGCGGCCGCGAGGCTGCTGTATCGGCGACTCCGAAGGGTGTGGTCTGGAATGGGTGTGGCCTGCAACCCGCGCCTGGGGGGGCGACAGGGGGCGACGGCCTCAACAGAGACTGCCCCGCCCCGACGAGGGCTCCGCAAACCTCCTGCTCAGCGTGGTGACCCCCCCAAGCCCCGACGACGACGACGACGACGACGACGACGACGACGACGACGACGACGACGACGACGACGACGTGAATGACGAGGACGAGGACGACGACCAAGGAAGGGGCCCAGGGACCGGTTTTGAGCGAATCTGCCCTCGTCCCTCGACCTCCACCTGCCCAAGCCTGCCGCGCAGCAGGCGCCGCCGCGGCGCGGCCGCGGCGACCGCCGCCGCGGCCTCCGCGGCGGCCGCCTCCGCGACCGCGCTGGCGGCGGCCGCTGCGCGGCACCTGCCGTGCGGCAGGCCCAGACGACGCCGCCGACGACGACGCCGACGACGACGCCGACGACGCGCAGCCACACCCGTTGCAGCCGCCGAGCTGTAGGAGAGCACGTCCAGCGCGAGGCGGCTCCGCTCCATGCGCGAGACGGCCGCCACGGCCTCCTCGGCCCGCCCCGCGCGCGCCAGCGCGCTCGCCACGGCGTTGTGCCCCTCCGTGCCCGCCGAGGCGCCCGCGCGCGCGGAGCCGTCGAGCCACTCCTGCGCCTCTGCTCCGAGGCAGTCAGGCAGCCTCCCGGCCCCCGGAGGAGGAGGAGGAGGAGGAGGAGGAGGAGGAGGAGGAGGAGGAGGAGGAGGAGGAGGAGGAAGAGGATGAGGAGGAGGAGGAGAAGGAGGAGGACGAGGAGGAGCGTGGACGAGGAGAAGGAGGGAAGAAGGGATGAAGAGGAGGAGCGGCCCCATACGACCCCCTGTGACTGCGTCGGACGGCCTCCCCGAAGCGGCCCGCGCCCGCGAGGGCGCCCGCGACGCCGCGCACGGACGCGCCGTCTGGCGTCAGCGCGGCCGCCTCCATCCGCCGCAGCCACGCCACCGCCTCGCCCGCGGCGGACGCGCTGGCCCAGGCAGTGCCGTGGGCGGAGCTCGTCGCCCAGGGCCCAAATCTCCGACGGGATCACAGGATTTTCCGATCCGGGCGTCTCTCCTCGCTCTCGGCCCAGTGGGGCGCGTGATCGGGCCCCGGCCCGAGGCCAGCAGACGCCGGTCGGGGGCGAGAAACCAGGGCCCATGGGCCATGACACCCAGGTCCTGAGGCGAAAAACTGGCCCCAGGAAAAGGGGTCGGGAGCTCTGGGGCCGCACATGGAACAAATCCGCCGACCCCTTGGGGATCATCGGCGTGTGAGATGCTTCCCCCTCCCCAAACCCCTCCCCCGGGAGCCCGGTCCGGTCGATTTGGAGGGGGGGGGGGGGTCCGGGACGAGCGGTTCACGGGGCTTTTCCTGGCCCAAGGGTCCGGGACGAGCGCTCCACGGGGCTTTTCCTGGCCCAAGAGGGCTTCAAGACGGGCCACGAAGCCCCCAAGAGGCCTCCAAGACGGCCCACGAAGGCCCCGAGACGCCAAACGACCGCTCCAAGACGCCCAAGATGGCCCCAAGACGGGCCAAGAGGTCTCCAAGACGGCCCCCGAGGTCCCAAACAAGCCTCCCAAGAGGGCCCCAAGAGTCTAAAATTGTTGATTTTCCATAGTGTTTTTCGATGTTTTTTGCTTTTCCGCCTTTTCGGCTTCCCGACGCTCCAAGACGGCCAAAGAGGCCCCAAAGAAGCCCCAAGATGGCCCAAGAGGCCCCCAAGACGGCCTCCAGACGGCCCAAGACGGCCCCAACACGGCCCAAGAGGTCCCCAAGACGGCCCAAGAGGGCTCCAAGACGGCACCAAGAGGGGCCCAAGAGGGCGACCAAACATGTTGAAACTCTAGCTTTCTGCCCCCAGGAGCCCCAGGGGGCCCCAAGAGTGCCCCAAGAGGCCCCCAGAGGCCCTCACGAGGCCGCCCAGACGCCCCAAGGAACCCCCAAGAAGCACCCCAGAGGCTCCGAAACGGCCCCCAAGTGGCTCCAAAACTCGCTTTTCACCCCTTCGCAGCTTCTACTACCCCCAGATTGGCATAAACAAGGGGTCGGCGGTGTGGCGTAAGCCTAAGAATCACATCATCGACGGGTATCAGGAAATGGAGTCCGAGTAGATGAGATCGGGGGATCGCGCCGCATCACCAACGCATCGCCGATGCACTGGCGACGCATCGGCGACGCATCGGCGACGTCGGCAATGCCTCAGCGCAACCGGCGGGAACATCGTGCTTCACATGGCGGATTCCGAAAATCTTGAACCCAAAAGAACTGTCATCTCTTTAGAGGTCGACTTTTGCTTCCGCCAGCTTCCGCTGGCCTTCCGCCAGCAGAGCCGCCCCCGTTTCACTTCCGCCGTCTTCCGCCCGAGGAAGGGATGCCCACTCCTTCGACCCTGGAAGGCGACGCCCTTTTTTGGAACGCGCCGCATCGTGCCGCATCGCCGATGCATCGGCGATGCGGCGCGATCCCCCGACCTCACCGGCTCCAGCCCGGCTCGCCATGCCCGGAGCGGAAAGGGTCACCTCTTCTTTGGGGAGCCGACCCTCCTGGGACTCCCATCGGGTCGGGCGAAAGGGGGGGATAGCAAAGGGGGGGTTTGAGAATCAGCTCACGTAGCTGATTTTCCTGGCGCCTCCCGGCGCCGGAGGCGGCTACGTATGGAGGACGGGGCCCCTCGGTGGGGCCGAAACCAGCTGCATGCAGCAGATTTCGTAACCCCCCCTTCCCCAATCCCCCCCTTCCGCCCGACCCGATCCCCGGGACGACCCCGGAGGCGTCCAGGAGCTCCTCGACCCTCGATATGCTCCCCTGAGATCCGCCGCCGCGAACCGGCGGCAGCCTCGTGGCAGCCACGCCCGTGCCCGTGGTGCGGCACTCCTCGAGCGGGATCGAGCCGTGAGGGCCCCGCGGCGGGAGAGACCGGGATCTCGGGGACCTCCGTCGCCGCTGCCCGACCGGGGGCCACCTTTGGCACCCGCCCCAGGGAAGACCAGTGACGACCCCAAAACGCCCAGGACCTCCTCGATCCTCTATCTCCCCTTCCCCGCTCCCGAGCCTCCGCCGCTGTTCTCTCGATGCGCCGCCCCGCACGTCCTGGCTCCTTCCTCGGAAGTGGTTTCTCGTCCCCGGGCTCCTCTGTCACGGCCCCGGGGACCGAGCGCGCCGAACTCGAGAGATCACCGGGCGTGGATCGCGGCGCTGTCCCTCTCTCCGTCCCTCCCCTCCGCTCGCGCCGCTCCCCGGGGCCCGGACCCGCTCGGGATGGGCGGCCGAGAGGGCGCGCCCCGCCCGCCCGCCGCCCACTGGGCCGCCGCCGAGCCCCGACACCCTCGGAGCCTCGGAGCTTCGATACCCTCGGTATCCTCGATATCGTCGAGGACATCGAGGACATCGAAGGCTACCCTCGATATCCTCGAGATATCGAGGATATCGAGGATCGAGGATACCCTCGATATCCTCGAGAATCGAGGGTGTCGAGTCCCTCCCCACCCCGGGCACTGCCCGACTGGCGCAGGCGTGGATCACGGCGTTGTAGCTCCGGGCGTCGGCCGGCAGCCCGCAGCCGCGCACGCGCCCGAGCCAGGCCGCGGCCCGGCCCGCCTCCGACGCCCGCGCGAGTGCGGCCACCACCTCGGGGCGCGGGCCGGGCGGGCTGGCCGACGGGGCAGGATGTGGCGGCGCGCACAGGGGGTCCCTCCTCGCCCTCCTCCTCGCAGTCCTCGCTCTCCTCCTCCTTGCCCTCCTCCTCGCCCTCCTTGCCTTCCTAGCCCTCCTCGTCCTCCTCGCCCTCCTCGCCGTCCTCCTCCTCCTCCTCCTCCTCGCCCTCCTCCTCGCCCTCCTAGCCCTCCTCGCCTTCCTCGCCCTCCTCTTCCTCGTCTTCGTCCTCGTCCTCGTCCTCCTCCTCCTCCTCCTGACCAAGGCCCCGTAAACCCGGACACGCCAGAAAAGGACATCCAACATACCTCTAAACTTGGCGGCGCGCACAAAAGGGGGTAGGGGGAGGGGTGAAGGCTTCATAGACGGAGGCTGCTTCTTAGAAGGCGCCGGCCCTACATCTCTAGACGTGGCCCGCGCCTTCTGAGAAGCAGCGTCCTTCTAAGATTCCCTCCCTCCTCCCACTACCCCCACTGTGCGCGACGACCAGAATGGGGACCCGAGGATAGGAAGGTACCCAAGGTGGAATTACGTTGCTTGAGGCACCTCGACCTTTGGACCCCATCCCTCAGGATCCCATCTTTGTCGGGCGTTGGCAGAACTGGGTTTAGTGTGACCTGGTTTAGTGATGTGTACTGGGGGACGCCCCCCTCCGCTCCGTTCCACCAGCCGGAACTGCCGTCACCCGAGAAACACCAGCTGCGGCAGACCTGGTTCAGCGATTCTGGGCAATTTCGGGGCTCCGGGGCCCGACCACTAACCGGGTCCTCTTACCTGGGGGGTCCTGGCTAAATCCCGATCAAGGCCCCATCTTTGAACCATCGAACCTCGGCGCGGGGCGGGTCGGCCGGCCAGCCGGCCGGTCGGGACAGAGGTCCAGGCGCAAGGCGAGGCGGCGCGGCCCCAAGGCCCCCTCGGGTGGTGTCCAAAAAATCAGGACGGGATGTTTTTCGCTGTGTTCGGCCTCTGGGGGCCCTCACTGGCCCTCGGGGCCATGAGAAAACGACTCCGCATGAGAGGGAGGAGAAGGAGGAGGAGACGGAGGAGGAAAAGGAGGAGGAGGGGGAGGAGGAGGAGGAGGAGGAGGAGGAGGAGGAGGAGGAGGAGGAGGAGGAGGGAGGGAGGAGGAGGAGGAGGAGGAGGAGAGGAAGGGAGGAGGAGGAGGAGGGAGGAAAGGAGGAGGAGGAGGAGGAGGAGGAGGAGGAGGAGGAGGAGGAGGAGGAGGAGGAGGAGGAGGAGGAGGAGGACGAGGAGGAGGAGGAGGAGGAGGAGGAGCAGCAGGAGGAGGAGGAGGAGGAGGAGCAGGAGGATGAGGAGGAGGAGCAGGAGGATGAGGATGAGGAGGAGGAGTAGGAGGAGGAGGAGTCCAGACCGTTGGGAGTCCACGTCGTGATGAAATCAAGACGTCGGGGGCCTCCCTGAGATTCGGGCGTGGCATCTCTTTCACAGCGGGGGCGCTCTCCCCCAGGTTCTGGGCCCAGGGGCCTCACAGAGTGCACGCCAATTGTCGGGGTCGGGGTGGCTCTTTCCTCCCTTGAATCTGGGTCCAGGGGCTGACCTCAGATCGACGATGGGACGACAGGATCGGCCGACACAACCCGGATCGATGATCGGGGGAGACCACGGATCCCCGAGATCCGCGATCGACTCTGAGGCCCCGTCGTCTGAATTCCTCTGCGCACCTGCGATCTCGCCCTGCTTCTGGGCGGGGGGGGGACCCTCACTCAGGGAGCGATCCTGTGGCTCGAGAGCTGCCGCAGGCTGATAGTGCCGAGGGCTGCGTCCGCGGCCGTCGGACCTCAAAAGTACCCCGATCGAGCATCGGAGGCGGCCAACGATCCGCGAGACCCGCGAGGTCGAGCCTGCGATCCACTGGGATCGGTGCGGGGGTTGCTGAGGGGAGAGGGGAGCTAGCCCCCGCCAAGCCACTTGGGGTCTGTCCAATCCGCTCGTGTCGCACCCCGCAGCTGCAAAGAAGAATGACGGGGGCGGGCGGGCCGTGGGCCCCGGGTGGGCCGCGGACGGGTCGCGGGGTGGGTCGCGGGGTGGGGTGGGTCGCGGGGTGGGTCGCGGGGTGGGTCGCGGGTGGCTCGCGGGGTGGGTCGAGGATGGGTCGCGAGTGGGACGACGACAGCAACAACCACAACCAACAACACCACCGCCACCACCAGCACCAGCACCAGCGCCAACACCAGCACCACCACCACCACCATTATCAACAACACCAACACCAACAACACCAACAACACCAGCAACACCACGACCACCACCGCCACCACCACAACCACCACCACCACCACCACCACCACCACCACCACCACCACGACCACCACCACCACCACCACCACCACCACCACCACCACCACCACCACCACCACCAACAACAACAACAACAACAGCCACAATCACAACCACAACCACAACCACAACCACACCGACACCAACTACAGCAACCACAACCACAACCACAACAACACCAACACCAACAACACCAACAACAACAACCGAACATGTTGCCCGGCTGCTCCATGACTCTGTCAGCAGCATGCATCCATCATGATATCCCCCCTATCATGGGGGATTTTCTTGCGCAAGGGGTCCGATCGCCCTTGCCCAAATCTCCCGCCCGAAAAGGTCTTGACAAAACTTCTTCCGAGGCACTTCAACATCTCCAACCCAAATGGCATATCGGCTTCGCAATGCCCCGGCCCACGCCTTGCTTCTAGGCGCGTACCACCACGCCCGGGTGGCCTAAATCCACTGTGTAAGGCCCCACAACCTCTGTGAGAGAACACCTTCGAGCCCCCTGGCTTGGAAAGCCCCCAGAGCCTCTCAGACAAGCTTCAGAACCCCTGTGGAAAACCTGAAGACCCCTAGGAGACGATTCGAAGCTGAGCTGAAGAGCTTCGCGGCCTCTTGACGGGGGCGTCAGTGCAATTTGAGAAAGGAGTGGATCGGAGGAGTTTCTGGGCCTCGGGGAAGGGAGGAAGAGGAGGGAGGAGGAAGAGGAGGAGGAGGAGGATGAGGAGGAGGAGGAGGAGGAGGAGGAACAGGAGGAGGAGGAGGAGGAGGAGGAGGAGGAGGAGGAGGAGGAGGAGGAGGAGGAGGAGGAGGAGGAGGAGGACGAGAACGACGACGACGACGACGGCATCGCAGCCGCGGGCTCCCGCGCGCCGAGGCGAGAGCGCCAAGGCGCTCCAGCGGGGGACAGGCGTGGACCCTCCAGGAGTCCCGAAACGCTTGAGCGTGAGCTTCAGGGCCTCTGGGCATCTGGAGTAACATTGGAAGAAGTACCGAGCGGGAACGTCATCCGGTAGAGGGAAGCAATTAGTGACCCCCCCCCCCTGCCCCCCAAACTCAAGGTTGGCACGCGCGGGGGAGACTGCGGTCGAGGTGCAGCTCATCAGACCCACCACCAACTTTGAACATTGGGGGGAGGGGGAGGCGTCCACAGATGAACGTGGCATGGGTGTTCGCTATTTTTTTTCCGAGGCCTCTTGTTTGCAGGGGTGGCCGTCTCTGGCGCCGAGGCGGGAGTGCCGGTATGTTGGAAAGCCGGCACTCGGCGGCGGGCAAAGGCACCCGCTCTCAGCAAAAAGGGTGTTAGTGTCGCGCCGGGGCGTTGTAGAATTCTCCCTACCTGCTACTGATTGTTGTTGATCCCCCCATCTGGTGACCATTGAACTTTTCAAGTCAAGTGCTTCTCCCTGGGCTCGCTCCTTTTATTCTACAAGGGAAAACGAAAGGTCACCAAGCTACGTTGTTGGGCCCCGAACTGCAACAATCACGGCTCACGCCTGATACTTCCTCACAATGTATTCCCACATTGCGCTCTCGCGCGGGACGTCCTCACAATGTATGCAGGAATCGCGCTCTCGCGTGGGACTACCTTGCAATTTATTCTGACGCCGCGCCCTTAACACCCCCAAATCACGCTCTGTGGCCTTTCTCATGATGAACTTGGGGATCGCGCTATCGCTCGAGCTCTCCCCGCGATCCATGCATGACGCACGCTTAAGCAACCCGCCCGCTCGACCTGGCCGCCTGGGCCCGCCTTCCCGACCCGCCTTGTAGGGTCTACCCGCCTGATGGGCCCACATGGTTCTGCCACGTGTTTTCTGCTCCGAACCCTCGTCGTGGTATTCCCGTGCTCCATCTTCCTCCCTCCCCCTTCCATCTGTCCTCTCGTCCCCTTCCTCAGGGGCTGCACCAATTACGCGCGGCGTGTAAGGAAGATCTACACCCCAAGGGGGTACGATCGAAAACGAAGAGAGCGGGTACCGAGGGTTTGAAATATACGTGTTGAATGCCACGCGGTCGCGTAAGCACAAACTATCTCAAACTGATTGTTGTTGATTTCACATTTCTTCAAGATAATTACAGTTGATCCCCCCTGCCCGCTAACCGTTGTGTGTGTTCAATTTGCATGCTTCTCTCGGGACTCGCTCCCTGTTCTCCACAAGGGGGAATGACATGTCACCAAACAGTGCCCCTGGCCCCCACTTTACAACAACTGCGGCTCCCGCATCACGTTTCCTTACAGTGTATTCCCAAATCGCGTTCTCGCGCGGGACTTCCTCACAATCTATACAGGAATCGCGCTCGCGAGTGGGACTTCCTCGCGATTTATTCAAGCGCCGCGCCCACACTCAGGAATCACGCTCTCGCTGTGGATGTCCTCGCAATTAATTTGGGCATCGCGCTATCACTTGAAATTTCCTCGCGCTTCATGCATGACGCGCGCTTCAACAAACCGCCTGCTCGACCTGGCCGCCAGGGCCCGCCTTTCCGATCCGCCCGTGAGAGCCTACCCGCCCGATATGCCCGTCTGGTTCTGCCACGTGCTTTCGGCTCCTATTCCCCCTCTTGCTACTTTCTCTCGTGCTCCATCCACCTCCCTCCCCCTTGTGCCTTCCTTCCATCCGTCCTCTCTTCCCCTGCCTTCGGGGTTGCACGAAAGACACGTTACAAGTTAA